ATTGTTCAGTGAACTGCTGGAGCAACATACTGTGTTGTGCACTCATTTAGTTGATTTGCTCCTGAGTTGTGACATTTCTTGTAGTCGTTTTTTGTGAAAATTTAAATGATAGCACGAAAAATTCATAGTAGAAACAAAAAATTGATTTGAGATCTTCTCCATACACTTGGTGAAATGGGAGAAATTGCTCGTTAAAATCTAAAAAGATTACGAAGATGATGCTGGTGGGAACTGTGTTCTTGTGGTATGTATCGTGAAAATTTTCCCTATTGTGGACTGGTGAAGAGAAATCGTATTTGTGAATTCTTTAGGAAACATTTGGTTACAAATGTACATATGTTTACATAAGTTTACCACAAAGCAGCACTTTAACTGAATTTTTTACCAGCGAAAATGTTCTTTCGGTGAGCTTTTAGAGATGATTTACGGCGAAATTGTTCAGTAATAAAATGGACTTTGGAATGCAATTGCTGCAGTCAAAAGAATTGAATGAGTCTCTATGGGAATTGTGTGAGTGTGTGTGTGAATTTGTTTTGTTATTTTTAGAAGCGTAAATAGTGAAGTGTAAATTGGGTCAATTGGCACAAGAGGAAAACTTGTTATTGATCTTTTTTGTGATTGTTGTGAAGTGGTTGAATAGTCGATAATTTACAGATGTTTGTGAGGGCTGACGAGTGCTTCGAGAAACCAGATCATCAACGTGTCATTTACTGCGAACTCAAAGAGGTTTGTACACTACACAATGCAATAATCATCTACTTTCAATTCAAATGCTCCATCAAAAAAGTGCTTCTTACAGTCTCAATTTGAAAAGATTTTCTCATCAAAGGTCGCAATTGAATGCTATCTTGCAAGAGAGTAAATCCGCATATTCTCATGTTTGCCATGAATCAAATATTATCTCCCACCAAATGCAAAACCAATGACGATTGCCATTCAGTTATTTAAATGATATTTCAAATAATGTTCACAGTAAAAATTTTTGCAATGGAGCATTACGCAACAATGTTTAAGACGAAAACTAAATGACGCAGTATTTAATTTCGAGCCTTGTTGATAAATATATTCAAGAATATTATCAACAATGGAAGGATTCAACGCAAAACGCCAGCCAACATCAGCCCTGAGCTATATGCGTTCGTTGATTTTAGATATACGATGTGGACGATACAATGCGATATAATGTTGACGTATTATGGCGATTGACGAGATCCTGTCATGCCGTTGGTAATACGTACGAAGCGAAAGATCAGAAAAGAAAGGAGATTCTGCTAGAGGGTTCGCGTTTTGCTTATCCTCAGACTGATTTTGATCATAAAACAGAATGACGAGAAATTTCTTCGTTTCAATGCTCGCGTTCATGTTTGTGTTTTCAGTAATTTTTGATTATCTTATTGATCGAGAACGATTTCAATGTTTTGAACTGCTCATGATTAGTTGAAGTTGATCGAAATTTCGTTTAAGTTTAGCGAAGGTGACATATTCTTCTGCAGTCGAAACAGCTTTATGCTGAAATGATCTATGAAATCGTTTGTTCTTGT